TGGCCGTTGATCTGGTTCGACACTCGAAATGGCAAAATTGTTAGGGTTTTCCCGTTTTTGATGTTGGGCTGTGGCAGTAAAGGGCTGTTGAGAGCGCTTGCCATCCCCATCTCGAGATATTTGTCCGAAACGACTTCTTGCTATCCTAGCTCGAGTATTTACGAATTCCGTGAGGTCTGCAAAATCCGGATCTCTACCATTCATAGATATTTTATCAGCAACTTCAGCCCATTGTATCTGCATAAAAAACGGCAAACAACGCACTATTCGCTCTAGGACATTCAGCGATTGTAGGTCGGAAACGTAGTTCATTTGCGTGAGCGCTATTTCACAACTTCTCATTTTTATGCACAAATCTGAAAGTGCCTTCGCAGTCTGGTTAACTTGGCGTGCCTGTCTGAAAACACCGTCCAGAAGAGCATTAGCCACTACATGTGGCTGGCCAAATAAGCTGCTCAATATTTCCCGTGCTCTTGAATAAGCCGAAGGTGAGGGAAGCATGACGCATTCTTCTATGGCCGCTCTCGCATCACCTCTGCAATAGTGAATCAAGTACAGCAGCCTCTGTCCAGCATCTTCAACTTTGCTCTCTACGTACACTTCAAACTGTCGTATAAACTTCCAATAATGAACTCGGTTCCCGTCAAACCATGACAACTCAACCTTGGGCAGTTCTAAAGTGGCAGCTGGCAGGCTCCTAGCGCTTGCTTTGGGCATATCAACATTCTCACGTTGGCAATGATTACTCTCTTCAGGAGAAATTTCATCCAATGTGCATTGTTTCAAATATCCTGAGACATGCGCGACGGAATCCACGGGTTGACGGTCGTCGTCGGACATCTCTTCATCGGTCTCTACCTCTATCCTTGCTAGCTCTGTCCTTTTTTCTGCGTCAAAAATAGCCCGTTTGAGTTCGACCTCACGTTTAACTCGCCTCTCTTCTATTTCGGCTATTTTTAAAGCTTTAATTGTTTTACTAGAGCTACGACTACTAATAGAAACGTTCTTACAAGAGCCGGACTGGACGTCTTTCTTCAGCTCTCCTTGTCCTTCGAAGGCACCTGGTTTGTCTAGTCCGAGAGACTGTTGCGTACCGTCCGATTCATTCTTCATGGAACGCGTCTGCATTTGATGAGATTAATTTCCTCCAATTTCTGGTAGGATGTTGAGTACTGTGGAATTCTTTGCTGGCAAAGTGACGCGTATAAGCCAAAACAGCTTTCGGTGTTTATACGGTACTATTGATAGAATAAAGTAATAATGAAAAAACGTACAAACCTCAACAATGGATACCCTGGACAAAGAATTCCTTTGTTAATGTTCGGGCAGATCGAATTCCCAGCTCAAGGTCAGAATACAAAATTAGTTAATTAAAAGAACGCCGATCGCGCTCAAAAAAAGGTTACAAAAGGGGAAGGGGAATGTCAACAGGGGCCAAATGTGGAAGCACTTGAGAGGAGGGCGTGGAGAATTCCAAGCGTTGACCGGCTGGATACAACATGTACATTGAAGAATAAGAAAATGAGCATAAATCCAGGGTATTCTGGGAGACAATTCACTTCTTCCGACGAGGTACCCGGACAAAAAAAAGGTCTAGACCAAGATGATTCCGAGAAAAGAAATCAAGCCGGGTGTTCTCGCTTGAATTCCGTTAAATTCTCACTATCTACGAGAAACCGAATGCCATAATATGTGCAGCGTCCTCCTTCAAGTTTCGCAGCCAGTTATAGTAAACGTCGTTTAAGATATGATACGCAAGGATGCACTGCGAAGCACAAGGCTCTCAGGGACGTTCTAACCCTTCTGGAATAAGTATCTTCATTATAACCACCAGGATCGCCTAGGGAACATATCCAATCTGGAACGTGCAGTTTCCAAGCTCAGACGAAGTAGGTGTTTTTGGTTTTATGACAAACCATGTACCAGTGGAATGATCACCGTTTTCCATCGCAAGCTTGTCCATATCAAGTCCGCAAAGAGGGTTTCATCGAGATACAGTAAATAGAACCCAGCGATGACGCTTATTTGCCCCCATACCTGCAGCAGTTCGTCAGAACAGCCCAGCAGCTGTCCAAAAGATAGGCACAAAGTACCGACTCGAAATCTGCAAACTCTGTGCTTCTCGGCTTCCAGGGAGACGAAAGACAAAAGTTATCAACGTGGTAAATAGAACTTCAGGGCTAGTAACTTAGGCAGCGGGTTAATATTCCAAAAAGGACTGATCTCTTGGTCTTGGAGAAGGTTGCCACGACTTATTTCTTCAAGCAGAAAGGTAATTTAAATGAAACAGGTAAGATTACGTAGAGAAAAAATCTACATATGATTGATGAGTGCGTGCACACGTACAATGAATGACCAAGCTCATAAAGTGCTAACCGAAATTCTGAAAGGCGTTTTCGATTAAAAAGGATTACTTAGGTAGGGTTGTAATATTGATTATCGTGCGGCATGACCCCATGGTACTTCGTATTCGCGAGAATGCCGGGTTTTGAGCACACTTCTTTTCGGCAGCCTATTAAAACCGCATGTGGTAAAAATGATAACCCAAGTAGTGCGAAAGTTTTCACATTGATTTTAAATGCTCTTATAAATTCAAATATGTTTCATAGTAAACATGTATGTATTCACTGTAGGTCTCTCGAAAAATATTTGAAGACTCGACGAGGAATCTGGGAACAACTAAATCAGTGCTCAAAACTGGATATCATACCTTGTAACAGCATCCCCAACGAATTAATTAACTTGCCTGTTTTGTCCTGACTATCATCCCCGACACTGATAAGAAGACCATCATTTAAAATGATGACGTTAAATGTAAAGATTTAAAAGCTAAAAAGTAACAGTTGTGCGATTCTTCCGTTAGTTACTTGTCCACACCGAAGGATTACTGAAATATGTGAAGTAGCTAATAATCTATAAATGAAGGATGTTCTAGCTCTAGTACGCGCGCATTATAATCCCTCAAATAAGTAGCCCGAATCTTCAAAATGCATGTGAATAACCGCTGAAAATCCAGGCCTCAATGATTATTACAGGCATAGGAGAGTAATAACAGCTGACAAAGACGTAGTAAACTTCTGAAACACAAGTGAGGGTAGACAGATCGGACAAATAAAAGAACTAAAAAAATTTAGTCGCAGCAGGCTTGTTTTAGTGAAGAAACCGTTAAAACAGCCGTTGTGACATCCCTAAACTTGATCCGGTATGGGACGGATGTAATCCCCGTGCATAATTGGCCACATGAAATACGCCCTAATTCTCTTTTCTAAACTATTCGCATTTTCTCAGTAGGATACGATGTGTCCACTCATTTCGAAATACGCCAGTATGTACCTGGTTGTAAACAGTTGAAGTTGACCGGATAATCAAAACTATGCTTATGCCCTTAGAACGCTGACCATCGCTAAAATTCTCGAAAGAACCATAATTAGCTGTTAAGTAATTTGAAAAGTTCCAATCACATACGCCCTACTTAGCCTACCTTTTACCTAGAAATTTATGACAATCCCTCCATCTCATATACTTAAAATTAATTTCCAGCGTTAGATATGATGAAAATACAGAAACTACATCATACATAAGCGCGAAACAGCCTTGACAGAGTTCCCCACAAAACGTAACTTATTAAAGTTCTGCACCATTGGATGCGCCATCTCTTTTTCGAGTTTCTTCAGTCCTATCCCCAAACCGATGTCGGATAGCCCACGTTTAAGATGCAGTTTCAGAAGCTTCTTCTTCTGTTCTTCTATTTATCATACTAGGCCTCCTATTTTCCATATGCATACTTGACTTGTCTTGGTAAGATGATAGTTGGTAGCCGTGTCCACAGACTCCACAATGGTACCTACTAGGTCGATTTCAGTAGCTGTGGTTGCGTTCTCATTATGCTTCTAAATTCACGCGCACGCTGTATTACCTGTACCGGATTCATTTTAGAGGTACTATTCTGGGCAGATTTTCACCGGTAACGATGACAATGAGGCTTACCCTATGTAAAATTTCATTAGAAGATGTAGTTGGCAACCGTGCCCACATAACCCAGAATCGTACCTACTGGCTGGATTTCAGTAGCTATGATTACGTTCTCATTATGCTTCTAAATTTGCATGCGTGCTGTATTACTTGTACCAGATTCATTGTGGAGGTACTATCCTGGGCTCCGGTAACGATGACAAGGAGGCTTTCCCTACATCACTTTTCATAAGAAGAGGTAGCTCTTGACTGCCTCATTCATTGTATAGGTACTATCTTGGGTGGATTGGCACCGGTAACGATGCCAATGAGGCTTACCCTTTATCAACTTTCATTAGCAGAGGTAACTTTCGACTGCCTCATTATTTGCGAATTTTCTATTCCGCCCAAACCAGTTTTTCGCATAAAAGTCTTACCCGGCTTGGGTTGTGGCGTTCCGCGTGCCGCTGCTTGACTCTCGTGTCCTTCTGTCCATTATATTGGATACAGTTCTATCGCTTACACTGCGGAATGACCTTCGGACCAGTTGCCTTCTTCCCATTGGTTGTTCGCCTTCACTTGCTTTTCTTTCCAATCTGAGGCTAGGATGCATTTATTCCACACACCGTTCATAGTCTCCTTACTTATTTCCATACCTTCCTTGTATTTTTCACCTAATCTAAATTAGGCTTCCACTTTACCTGTAGCGTCCATTCCTAGCATATACTACAATCACCAATTACCCGTTCACTCAATTGTCCCACCCGTATAGCCCCTATTACCACCGGTCCCGAGTGAGAGGCAGCTTTGAGTTTGCGGTGTCAGGACGGCTACCAACTATCATCTAACCCTTGTCTTTCATATAAACATCACAAGTCGGCGCTCCACTCCGACCCATCGTGTCGCTCAAAGGGACTCCAACGTACGGACTGGCTAAGTGGCTGTTCCGGCGTCTCAAGTTCCTGACCACTGAGTCAGACACCACGGTCTCTTCGTCAGCACAATTCCTGGAGAAACTCAAAGGGGTAAGACCCCGTCCAAATTAGGTCATGGTATCTTTTGATGTTACGTCGCATTTTACTTCTATTCCCCAGGACCTGGCGATCGAGACGATCGAGCTGCTTCTGCAAAGCAAATACGATGAAACGGAGAATCGTCTTGGACGCGCCCAAGTCCTTCAGCTCCTGAAGTTCTGTCTCAGGACGTACTTCACGTTCGACGGGACAATCTACGAACAGGTGAAGGGCACACCAATGGGTTCGCCGATTTCGGGATTCATCGCCGAGGCTGTCCTGCAACGGTTAGAGTCGCTGGTCTTCCAACACCACAAACCGAAGTTCTGGGCCCGGTATGTGGGTGGTACCTTCATCGTTATCGACCGGGATCAGCTGCTGACATTCAAGGAACATCTGAATGCGGTCCTCCCGGACATACATTTTACGAGGGAGCAGGTAGAGAACAACCAGCTGGCCTTCCTGGATGTCCTCGTATGCCGCGAAGATTGTGGTGGACTAAAGACCAAAGTGTTCAGGAAGGCGACAAATACTATGTTAATACTGAACTTCAACAGCAGCCACCTAATCAGCCCCAAACGCAGTTGTGTAAGGACGCTCTATCGGCGTGCCGAAACGCACTGTAATGAGGCCGGAGACAAGATAGCCGAACTACAATACCTCCGATGGGTCTTCAAAGCCAATGGCTACCCGCACAACTTCGTCAACCGGTGCATACGCAAAAGGGACGAAAGGTCTAACCGCACGGACACCAAATCTTGGCGGGCACTTCTGTATGTCAAGAACGTTTCGGAAGCTGTCGGCCGCCTTCTCGCACCACTTGGGGTTGGAGTGGCGCACAGACCGGAGGCAACCATCAGGCGTCTGGTCATGAAACCGAAAGACCCACTGCCACGGCTAGAAACGTCTGGAGTCGTTTATCGGATCTGGTTCAGTTGCGGACAAAGCAACTACGTCGGAGAAACCGAAAGACAGCTCCGAACGAGAATGGCCGAACACGCGGCAGCGGTGCGCAGAAATGACGCCAGCTCTCAAGTTGCGGCTCATTCGACGAGATTCGGCCACACATTCAAATTCGACAAGGCCGAAATTCTCGCAAGAGGTGACAACCGCGTGAGCCGGGAGCTACTGTAATCATGGTTTACTGGCCCCCAGTCCATCAACAAGGGCAACGAGCTTCCCACTCCATACTGCGTGCTAGAATTTCGCCTAGGCGGAGTAACAAGCCATGCGGGGAGCCCAGAGGTGAACACTTTTCCCAACACCGGGGTCGGTGCGTCAGATGGTCGAGCAATCATCACGCCAGCATCCAACGCACGTGATGAAATTGCAGAAATTATCGACTCGAATGTCGGCCATCAAGCAGTGATCACACCAAGTGCGACGATCCTGGATGAAGGGGGGAGCCGTGAATGTTCATAGGTATGCGGTATCATGGCTACTGCATCCTATGAATACCACAGCCCCTTGTGCAGCAACCACCCGTTTCTGCTTTTTGTCTCTGATGATGGATTCGAGTAGGAATCCGAAACGTCAGGCTAATAAAGCTCTTGTCCCGGCGATCGTGTCTCCGTCTTCATCAGAAAAACCATTTACAGGCAGGAGACCTGAAACTCGCATGTGCATATGACAAATTTTCGGTTGCGGATATACATAGGATGATAAAGACAGACTTCACGAAGTTAAACGATTGGAGTAATCAGTGGCAAGTGTCACCTTCATTTACAAAGTGCCATCTCCTGATCTTTAGCTCAGAGAACCATTCATCCATACTTTTTCAACAAACATTTTGTGGACAGAATAGGATTACCAGTAAAGACAAGGGAGACCGGAATCGGCATTTCTGACCTAATAGACAGAAAATCAGTAAAAACTTGGTTTGGGTTATACAAATACAATTAACTTATTCCTGCACACTAAACAGATTACCTCTAAAGTCCCAGGTTTGTGCGGATGTACATGCGAAATATATTCCTTAAACACGCTTATGATGTTACTTTGGAAAATTTGCGTTTTTTCTGATTTGGCCTATTCTTCAATCTTCATTAAAATGTTGCCATCAGAAATCAGGATGATACCAGATGTCGTCTGAACGCGCATTACTAGACTGCCGTTTGATCACGATGTTTTAATGGCCCATACTTTGAGCTGTTTTATAAGTACAGTCTTAAACCGCTCTCGACCAGGTGACTCATATACGGTTTCATTTTCTTATTTAAAGTCACAAATGCCCGGGATCGGATTATCTTGAACAGGCTGGCAACGCAGGACGTTTCCCCGGACCTCAGAGCAGCACCTCCGCAGTAAAATCACGGTATAAATCTACAAAAACATCGGAAAGGGAGATAAGTTGAGTAAGCACATCAGCACACCAGTGGTAGCATAAATGGACGTGAATTCCAAAATGCATCGTTTTTTTTCACTTCCTTATTGGAGCCATTCCTAACTCAAAACATCCTCTGAAGCAAGTATAACCACAATTTCCACATGTGAATACTGCGTCTACATGGCTGGACTAACGACCAGTATTCCAATAAACTTCATGTTTGTAATGCCTCACAGTGCCAGTGACCGTCAAAATCCGAAAGGAGGGTAACTTGGGTCAACGGATTGGTAAGATCAAAAATCCGACGAGAACATGGCATTTTTTAAGCTTTGCTCCTTTAATCAACAGATATGGCTGGGGCTGTTGCGGTCTCATCATAAACAGTTGGGTAGATGGTGCAGTAGAAATGCTAACGGATCTTATGGCTGAAGATAGACTATGCACTTTCCTCGTTAAGTTTGTTTGACTTCCTCCATTTCGGATAGGCGTTACCCAGGCATTGTTGGGGATTAACGTTGCAGACTTATCAAGGCAATCACTACAGCATGACCGGGAGTACTGCTACGCATTTTAAAAAGTTGAGTCCGCTTAACTATCAGATAAAAAACTGAAGAGGAAAGTGATTTATGGGCAACTTTGGAAGTGCAAGCGATCCACCAATCAGCGTAGATCCACAGTCTCCTATTTTACAAAACGAGTGCACTGACTTAGACGCTATTAAAGTTATCTGACGAAGTAGTTGACAGGGTTTATCTTCCTACCTATTTTGAGCAGCGAAAGTTTGGGCTGCCAAAAGACATTAGAATAATCTCGACTCTCTGTGGAGTAGGTGATCATATTGCCAAACTTCTGAAGCAGTTCACCCCGGTCGCGATTGTTTGGTAAACGAAGCCAAAAAATGCGAACTACGGAAATCATCTGGCTGAAATTAATCAAAATTTTAATTTGGTTTTGACTTAGTACATAAGCGGCTTGCCAGTGAGCTTTCGGAAGTTCGTATCGTAGGTCTTCAAAAAGACACATGGCAGGGTCTGGACTAATTGTCAGCACTTGGTCAGTGCGCATCGATACAAAACATCAGTCATCGTGGCGTACCAAGGCTCGTACTCAACTTCTTACTTTCATTCGTGAAAGATGTCTGGGAGGTTACGCATACCGGGGAATTTACTGTTTGTTTGGGTAGCTCGACAGTAGAAAGGGGTACTTTCGTTCGAGTTGCCGCCGTCCGTGTGGACGACTGGGATGAGTGTGGTGGAGTAGATCCACAGTGAAAAATCTCAGACATCGACTCAATTCCAGCACTAGTCTTCGAGTATGGTGGCATTCAAAGTCTTCATAGATTAACCTCACTGTTCCAGGGACTGCGCTGTTAAGGTCAATTTCACCAATAATTCAAGGACATCAGCATGGTATATCTCTGCAAGCAAAAAAGGAATCTAAGTGTGCAATACTTATCGCCATGTCACCCTATTTAATACTAGCAAAACCTTCGCTTACTCTCTTGGTTAACTGAACTAACCGTACGCCCAAAATCCACCCCGCCTTAGTCATCTCGGCAAATACCTGTCCATTAGATGGTTTGTTGATAGCGCTGCACTGGAGCTCCACGTCTTTTCGACGTGGATCGATAAGGGGGACAGCTTTCAGCACCAAAACAATGCACCCAGTGCCTGACATGACAGTAGCAGCAGTTTAGTTGACCGAAATGACTGGGGGCGGAACAACAAAAACAACAACAACACGCATACGCTAGTGGCGAAAGGACAAAAGCGGCCATTGACGAGAGGATCTGACCGGCAGTTTTTTTTTATACAGAATGAGGTCGGAAACCTCAGGAGGTTACAGGAAAGTTCAGTTCTAATCATTTGAGGAGGCCAGCTATTTTTAATTCAGTTCGGAGCGAGGTCTACAAAATTTTGAAAACAGACACCATGATACAGTTCAATTGATGATACGAGTGTCAGCTCTATTGTGCAAGTGCGGAAGAATAGCAAATGATCATTTGGCGGCTTGCCGGAAATGTTCCACCTTTACGAGTGCCGTCCACAGAGGATCAACTGTGGTGCGCTGCTTGGCTCTCAGCGTTTTCCATCAATGGAGGACATTCAGAGGACCCCTTTCACGTGTGAAGCCATTTTCTGTTTAAACGGAATCATTACGGAGCCTCATTATTGGTCGACCGCGGCCACATGCCGTGTTGTCCCGAGTCGAAGGAAGTATGGTCTCAAGTCCATGGTTTTAATTGACATCATATGATTAAAAATAATTGCGCCACTTTTTGATCAAAACGTTTCATGAGAGACAACTATGAAACTCGATCAATTTGTCCTCGTTTTAGGACACTTTTGTCATGAGCTACTGTAGCAACAAGCGGATCCTGCCCTAGCCAATCCTCGAATACCTGGTCATTTGTGATTTCGATTGGACGGGGGGGGGGGTCACATTATTCCATATCTCGTGCGATTACTTCAATAAGGTTTTAGGAGGTCAGTAGATTGACTGGAAAGTGTCAGTGGAGTGACCATCCTTAGGTTGGAAGGGAGATGGAACTGGTGGACTTTGATCAGCCGGAGACCCTACCAACTGATTAAAAGTATATTGTGTTCTTGCGAAAAAATGAAGAAATCTTAATCAGCTGCTAGATTTACGAGAAAAACACGACGCCATACAGACAATAAAGAGTGCAACAGACAGCAACCAGAATCGCCTTACAAACAGAATTTGTTCCACTGGGGG